AATATGTCCATTGATAAAGAAGCTTGAGTGACATCATTCTATTCTTCAAACAAGGGTAGAGCTATTCAGACAACTCGTAGTTTACGCTATGTTATTGAGGGAGAAACCAGACTTGGTCTTAGGAAGACCACGTGATTCGATTTTTGGAGAAAATGAAGCAACAGGGCCCACCGGTAATGTCGTTACATTGTATGTGTGTATATGAACAGTATACGTTAGTCCAAAGTGAATATGCTAGGTGACATGTCAACAATAATTTCCACAACTAATACAATATTCCTTGAAGAGTTTGTTTCCGGTTAGTACTTATGTTTGTATTGGTTACTTGCTCTCAACCTTTTATGCCTTGAACATGTTTAGATAAAATATCAGTTTCAATTATCTCATATAATCCTTATATATATATAAAGGAGTTTGTGTCCTCCAATTCTAGTCTTCCATATCAATTGTCTCTCCTTCTCAAGTGATGACTTACAGTTCCTTGTATCAGTTCCACCATCATGTTCATCGATAAAGAAACTTTGAGTTACATCATTCTATTCTTCAAATGAGGACATAGCCCTTCAAACAACTCAAAGTTTACGTTACGTTGCCGAGAGAGAAATCATACTCAGTTTTGGGAAGATCATGTGATTCGATCTTTGAAGAAAAATGAAGCAACAGGGCCCACCAGTAATGTCATTATAATATGTGTATGTAAACGGTACACATCCATGAATTATAGCTTGGAGAAGGAACTCTTGTGGTCACACAATTACCTGAGGTGAGTTTGTATTGGGTAAATATTCATGATTCATTGACCATTTGATCTCTACTTATGCCTATATAATGTTGCAGTTTATCGTCTTTGGGTTTAATGATATAACGTAATATTGTTTTGGGTAATTTTGTGTTTGAAATTTTCATCCCAAATACATTTCAAAGTTCATGTGAGAGCCACATAGAATGAGAACATTTTTGGGACAGAAATTTGGTATTTAAATCTATTGAAATTACGGGTGATGAGCTTGTGTCAAGTCAATTTTCGTTCAGTATATATAGCCTTTGTATGTACCACATCATATGCACATTATACGTTTGTTTTATCAAATAGCTCAGGTTCTTGTTTGTTTTATCATTGCGTACCACATCAGGGAGCGATGTAAAGACTTGGTGGAAGTCAGCCCATTGATCTTTTATTCTCATTTCACATAAGGTGACCCACGGTGATTGATTTTTCCACATGATGTAACGCATGTAGCAGGACAAGACCACTTGTAGAACAAAAGGTGAGTCTCTATCTCTTCAATCCAACGCTGTAGCATAGTGTGGACTGCATGATTCAAACATGAGCTCCAGTGGGACCAATGCAAACGGGTGGATTCACAAGGGCCACACCTTTTGTAGCATGAACGTGATGTTCACGGTGTTGCTGCATTGACCACTAATGATCTAATGAGGCGGCTTAAACTGAGTGCCTTGTTGACTTTACTTTTCTTTTGAGTTCAGGAGGTTACCAAGAAAGGGCGAATTCTACATAGTCACAATCCATTTTAATATATCATTTTCTATGTCAAACGAATGATTTCAAAACTCTGTGATTATCCTCATTGTGAAAAATGATGATCAGTTAAGAGGAGCCAACCAATAATTACTATTCCCTGGCCTTGTAGTTTTTGTTTTAAACATTTGACACTATTATTCTCGATTGAGCACTTCCATTGTTTCTAACTTCATAATCTTCGTCATATGTTTTTACCGTTTCATCTTCATATACTGTGCATTTAGTAAAAGATACGAAGTCATTCAGCACCCATACATATAACTATAGCTAGCAATCCTTTTGCAGTAATAATAGATTATTCGTTCATTGTTTTCTTTTTTCATCGTAGCAGTGAGATCAACTCATACATAGTTTTTTGTACCAAGATAAGTTAAATTAGATTTCTCAAACCTTTGAATCTAAATTAACATAATTAAATACAAAGATAGTATCATGCGTAAAAAATTGTGTGATAGATATATTACTGCTAAATATGCTTAAGTACCTTGATTTAATAGATATATTACTGCACATGATGAAAGATTGAGGATTAATTTATAAGAAGTAAATATTAGCTTGAGGAGATTAAAAAAACTTAACCAAAAAGAAAACTGTCCCAACGGGCTGCTGTGACATATGTGATACTTTTATTCTGGAGATTTCGTAGAGCACACGTAATTGGATAGTCAAATATGTTTGAGAAAACCTGCTCGGTGTCCCAATTTGAGATTGTTGTCCACTGCGCTGAGCAGAATTGTGCAAAAAGTAGGCAGTGAGGAACCAAGTCTTTTGAGGCGGTCCGATGGAGTGAGGTTGGATCGAACACTCCTTTGTGTCCTTGTTTTCTTAACACCACGACACAAACACAAAGAGGATAGTCTTCTAA